CCAATGACCTAGACAGAGGTTACCCCAAACACCAGGGTATCATTAAAATCAAGCTAAACTGCCTGAAATAAAAGGTTCACTTTATCTACCTGAAATCTGCCCCAAGGGCCCAACAACAAAAGCTTCTAGTATTTATCAATCAGCGAATTTCACAGCCTAGATATAGAATAATTTCCACCAAACTATGGGGAAATTCCAAACTTAAGACAGTGGTCTCCCGGCAGCACTAATCTGTGGCTTAGGAATACCAGGTTATCTTATGAAATAAGTAGCTGAGACTATGTACTAACAACATAGCGGTTTAAAAAAAAAAGTAGCTATTTAAAAGAAATGCTAAGGTACTGAGAATTTCAGAAAAACAATCACACCATGATAGGCTGTGTTCACGAGACATATCTGCCGTCACCCTGCAGCACAGCGCAGCCCCGGGTGACCCTTTCCCATCTTCCCTTATGGTTTCATTTCTGTGAAGTGGACTAGCTCTCTAGTTCTGATAACTTTTATTATTGCATTATTTCAAAATATACTTCTGAGATACATATATATATATGTATATATACATATATATATATATAGTCGTGTAAGTTTCTAATCTGCCAGAAAAATCTCAACTTTTAACATGTAGTACAATTTATGTTCCACAAAGCTCTAAGCATAAATTTTAGATTATCCCCCTCTTCTTTCTTTACTCATATTTTAAGGAGTCTGCAACTTTATCCCACTTGTAAAATCAGGAGGGTGATGAAAGCCTTGGGACAAGGAAAGAGCCCTAATTTCCTGAGGCCACAGGCTCATTAGCTCAACACCCACCAGTTCGGCAGTGCTGGAAGAGCCCCTAACTCTGGGTGCTGTGATACTGTGAGCTCAGGGGGCTCTCTCAAGTGAAGATTGCTTTAGATGCTCAGGAGCTGCCTGGAGCCTGGAAGACTCTAGGGAGCTTTCAGGAAAGACCAGGGCAGGGCGAGAGGCTGGGCTTTTCCTCCAGGGAAGGCAAATGGCTGAAGGTTAAGATGATCAAAATCAGTCAGTGATTAATCAGTCATGCCTGCACAATGAAGCATCCATAAAAGGACCAAAAAACAAAACAAAACAAAAACCAAAAACTGGGAACTTCTGGGGAGCTAATGAATCTCGGAGGTTCCTGGAGGTGCTGCTTGAAGGAGGCTGGGAAGCCCCTTGCCCCTCCGCTCCCAAGTCCCAACTTCCCCTTCCCTTCCCCTCTGCCTCACGCTATGCATCTCTCGATCTGTATCCTTTGCAATATCCTTCATCGCAGGTGTTTCCCGGGTTTCAGTGAGCTGCTCTAACAAATCAACTGAACCCAAAAAGGGGGTCATGGGAACCCCAGTGTACAGCCCAGCCGCAGAAATACAGGTCCAAAAACAAACACGGCCCGAAGCTTGCTCCTGCCACACGAAGTGGGGCATTTGTGGGGCTTGTCCTCAACCAAAGGGATCAGACATGTCATTTACAAAGGCACCTTTGAGTGTAGAGAAGAAAAGCAAGCTCCATTTCTCCGACTCCAATCCCTACTCAAAGCAGCCAGCAAGAGAACTTCTGTGACACTGGTCATGAGGAAGTATGGGGGTTTTGCCCACCTGGTTGGTTTGTGGGACTAGTCCTCAACTTGTGCAAGTGGACATGATCTCAGGTAGATGAGTCAGAACTGAACTGAATGCAAGGACAAATATGCCACTGGATATGATGAAAGAGTTTATTTAAGGTAACAGTAAAAGCTACCAAAATAGGGCTTGAAAAATGAGGAAGAGTCTGCTGCTACTCTAGAGCACCACGGGCTCCACAGTCCAGCCACAAAGCCAGGGCCAAAGCCCTGAAGTCAGTAGAACTACACAAGGCCGCCCTGCAGACTCAGTGCTCAAGTACATCCCTGCTTCGCACCACCATGAGCAGTAGACACAGTGTTTTAACTCTAAAATAAGAGTTTATACTACAATTGTGCAAGCACACACACATACAATAAAAAAAATTTTTGACACCTATTTAATATGGTACTTTCTACTATTTACCTTTACCTTCTTTTCTTGTGTATAAAACATCACTACATGGTTAGGATAGATATATAGCTACAATCTCTTAATTCAAGGAATAGAGACACTTGTTCTAATAGTGTTTGTGAATAGGATATCATGTCTGCATCTTGTACAACAAATAACCACTAGGAAGGCAGTATGCAATGTGTTAATTATTGGAACTGTCCTACCAGTTTTATTTGAAACTGTCTCATTGCTATTTATTTCTCAATAAAATTATGGGGAAAAAAAAAAACAAAAACATCGCTACAAGCAATCCAGTACATTCACTGCTAAATCCTGCAGAAGGGGCTGGTGAGATGGCTCAGTGGTCTAAAGCACCTACTTGGAACAAGCTTGGCAAAGCACAGGGACCACAGTTCAATCC